TCATGTGCCAGCTCCGTGCTAGCTTCGTGCTAGCACGGCGCTGAAAAGACTTGCATTGCTACCTTTTCTAAGGGCACGGTATTCAAACATCAAACGCTGGATTGACTTGGCTCTTATACCTGTTCGATAGGGCTATGCTATCCTAGAAAACCTATGAAATCTCATCCGGATCCGCTAACTTATACAGGAGTTATGGGTGGTTACTGGATCCATAACAGTTGAAAGCCCTTGCATTGCTAGCTTTTTCAAGGGCATGGTATTCAGACACCACATTATTGGCCTCCTTTTACTATCCGATAGAACATAGCTATTCTGGAAGAAGTCTGGAGTCGTATCCGGTTCCATCAACTTATGTAAAAGTGTTGAGTGGGTATGGATGCATTACTGTCGAGAATCCTTGTGTTGCAAGCTATTTCTTCCCTTTTTGGCCATTTTTCTCGAAGATCATAACTTTGCAAAGAAAAAGTCGACGCACAAGTCTTGTTCTTTTATAACAAAAGGCAAAAAACTCGTGTACTTGTTTATTTCAGATATTATTGTACAGTATGAGAATAAAACGCTTACAGCGATTCACTAGATTTCAAGTGATTTTCTTTTTTCAGTTTTGTCTCTGCGATAAGAGATTAGAGGGTAAAAAAAAGAAGTGTCTAAAAAGTGTATATTTTATTCTTCGTTAGAATATCAGTGCCATGCACTATGGTGGTAAGAAGCTATTTACATATAAAAAATGGTGAGAGGAACTTCTGGATCAATCTAATAAAAATTGTGAGGAAATGGTCAAACTCAGTTTAGCTGTGGAGCAGCAGGAACAGATCTAGCTGATTAAGAAAAAGTTTGTCATGGCTTTCATCCATGAAAGTTGTCACATATTTTTTGGTCCTAGTTTGAATTCCCTGAAAAGAAGCTTCCCCTCAAATTGGTGGGTATCGCGATTTTACATCCTTGTAGTGACGCATCCCTCAGATAAGATATCAGTAAAATTTGGAGCGAAAGCGCTCCTGGAAAGCCTAAATTCCAATCCAGAAGTCCTACGGGCCCCGCCCACTTCCAGACCCCTCCCACTTCTTACATGTAATTTGGAGAGAACGCGGACACGGAAAGCTTTGAAAAAAGCTCATTTCTGCCATTTGCAAGCGCTGAAAAGCTAACATATGGCTTTAGCATGGCGAGAAGGCTCTGGAAAGGTAAAAAATTAGCAAACAGTTTTTGATTGTGCACTCCTTTCATGTGCATTCACCGTGATTTACAATACACTTCCAAGAGAGTGAGTTTAAAAAACTTTCAGAAAACAAAAAAAAATAAATTGGCTAAAATGTGAAATTTCAAGAACCATTTTTGTTTGGATTTTGCACTACTGTCATGTAATTAAGGACCATAACTGGACATTTCAAGACTTGATCTTGGATTCTTTGGCAATCGCGTGCCTAAGTTCTAATGCACGATAACGATGAACTGATAAGAAAACCTCAACCTTTCTATAAATTACAGTACATACTGAGCATGCCACAAAGTTCAAGGCGCTCAGCTTATCATTCTTATCAGTAGGTTCATTGTCCTACTCCTCATCTATACGTTTACGGACAATTTTTTCGAAGTATAAAAATATCGCTTTACTTCTTATACTGGTCTATTCTACTGGTCCATAAACTTATTAAACTAATCTAAATTATCAAAATAATCGGCAAAATCATAGATACTGTTCTGGAATTCAGCATTCCTATAAAGATAATCGTCTTTAGGATGTATCGTTAG